TGTGTGTGTGTGTGTGTGTGTGTGTGTGTGTGTGTGTGTGTGTGTGAGAAAGCAACCAGGATGTTTGTCTTTGGAATATTGCCTCGTTTTAACCTTTCCCTTTCCTCTTTGAAAGATACATTTGAACTGTAACTCAAATAATCCAACTAAGGTGGCTGGAGTTTGGTCAGAAATATGGAAAGCTGGCATATATCATAAAAGCGGATTTGTATAAAATGGTCCATCCTTTATGTCAATATATGTGGGTGGTATTAACAGATGAAACACCAGTTGACCGACATTCCGGTGGCCTGAAGTAGGGGGTCCAAAATGCTAATTTAGTCTCACAGCCATATTTTGAGACCTCCTGTACCCCCACCAGAGGCCTGCGTGCCTTGAAACTCTCTAAATACAGAGGTAGTGAATATGATAAACCCCACCAACACAAAACAAAATGTAAAAAAATGTATTGCCTGATTTTAAAAAGCCACTTTTTAAGGGGTAGTTTATCTAAAAAATACTACACCTATTTTTAAGTGCATATTCTGATAGACAGAGCCACAGTACATTGATATAGCAATGTGTTGGACTGTAACTACCGTCAAACAAAACAGGGCGGCCTCCAAATATGGTCCAACATTTTGTAGTGCAATTACCAGGTCCCATGTCAACATCCAGGTAGGATGTTGTACTGGTGTTGTGACGTGCACGAACGAGTCATTCTTTTAAACGTCTCTTTAGGAGTGAACGAGGAAAATTGATTCACAGCTGTCAGACAGCCATTTTAGAATGATATTTCAAAGGGCAGGGCGGTATTTCATGAATGTATCAAAACCGAGATCGGAACATTCAAAATTGCATCAAAATTGGGGCGACATCAATAACATGACCGTGCCAGGCTCACTTCAACCAACCACTTTCCTCCTTTCAAGTTTGGTGTTGATTGACAGGTAAAGCCAGCCATTGACAATCCTCTTGCGAAGGGGGCGAGCGACACACTCACAGCCGCAACTATACAGCGCACATGCGAGAAATCTACTTGCGGGTCAACGAGAGTTGCGAGACAGCTGTTTGCATTCATAAAATACAGTACATACTGTGCATATGTATTGTGTATTACAACATTACATGACAATGTTTATAATTCCACATGTACTCTTGAATAACATACCGTCAGTTGATGTTAAAATGTGTGAACAGTCTGTCCCTCGCCGGTCCATTCACTTGAATGGGAGTGAGTCTCGCTGTTCAAAACATCCACACTTTGCTCTTGATTATCGCGCACATTCTATTTCTGGAGCAACACATGTCTTCCTTGACTGCCACTATCTTTCTGTGGATTACAAATGAAAAGGTCCTCATACAATGCAATATTTATTGTACAGGAGTTCCCTGTTCTAGCCTTGAATTTTTGAACATGCATGTCACAATCATACAAATAAAATATGGATTTGTTTGGTTCAACAATGGATATGATCCTGGGTGTGTTTTTTCCTTCCTCTTCTTCAGGTGTCTAACCAGCCGATGGGATCAACCAGCCCAATCAAAGCAGGGGGACAGTGGGAATATATCCCATCGGGTTTCAACGGTTGACAGGACATCCAGTTTAAGCAGTTCACTTCCTCTCACAGAACAAAAAGAAAGCATCCCGCCTGGGGCGGAAAAGCCAGAGCCTCAGGGAGGGGTTGAAATGGCTGCCGCCATGGCAGCTAAAATAAATGCCATGTTGATGGCAAAAGGAAAACTTTTGACTCCCCCGCCGTTGTTGACAAAGGTTGGTACTTGTTTATCTTAAAAAAATAAAATAAAATAAAACAATGCAAGCCATGGTTCCATCCAGTCATGAATGATTTATTTTTAAACGTCATCTAGACCCCCCAAAGTGCACCCGTGCTGCCCCCCACAGAAGAGCTGGTTGTCACTGAGGTTGACATAAATGATGTGCCTCTAAATTGCAGAGACCTTCTCACGAAAGGCAAAACCCAAGAGGAGGTATGTGAACAGAGGTTGTGGAAGTTCAACATTGGAAGCATTGGACTTGAAAATGCTTTAAATCGATTCTAACTTGAGCTAATATATTTCTGGATTCATGATTTCAGATTCGACTGTGTAGTGGGGCAGTTGTATCAACCAGAGGACATTTCATGTCTGATGTTGAAAGGGAAAAGTCTGGCGGGTATGTATATCGATACACAATCTTTGTATTAAAAGCAGAGCTCCAAAGAGTCTTACTTTTGAAAACTGATTCACTGGTGACAAAGGCTGCCACAAACTTATTATTTTACTAGTCGATCAATCACCAACAGTAGTCACGTTTCGTGGACAAATCAGATCATATGTAAACCGCAGCATACTACACCAGCAAACAGGTGCCTCTATATAATGATCCCCAACTTACAACTTGAACTCCTTAAGGTATGTGCAACTTGATAATAAAGACAATTGAGATTATCGGACATTCAGCATTCATTCAACTTGTCAGCTTGTACCAGCATGTGTTTATAAATGAGGGAGCAACTCCAATTGAAGGCGATGTTATGACCTAAAAATGTAGCTGTAAATCTGTGGTGTGTTTTAAAATGGAACCAAAAACTAGAAACCCTGCAGAATTGCAATGATACTATGAAATTATCTATAAATGCAAAAATACCTGTAAATATATTTCACTTTTCTCTGCCAGCACTCTTTTTTTATGTAAGATGAGGAAATTTTGAATGATGCCGACAAGAAAAACTGTTTGCTTATGTCTTTGCAGCCTATTAAGAACCCTGACGAAAAAACATCAGGTTTTTTTCCATAATCACCCATCCCTAGTTTGGGTCGTTAGAATAGAAGGGGAAAATACTTTTTCATTGCATTGTATTTGCTTCCTGTAATGCTGTGGCACGTGGGGAATGGAGAGGCACAGCTGCAGATTCACATTTATTGTAAACAGACTTAACAATATGGACAATATTTACTATACATTTTATCATTCTGATTTATTAGTTTTTTTTTGTGTTCAAATATAAGATAAGTTATCCTTTATTTGTCCCACACTTGGGAAATTTACAATATGTTTACACTGCGTTTCAAAAGTCTGTTTTGTAAATTCCAACGCACCAACGCATCTCTTTGGTGCCTTTTCACTTATTGTGAGCGGGTCTGGAAAATATCCCCTGGTGATAAACAGGAACCGACCTGTGTTTGTGGCCCACATTTAACAGTAATGATGTCAACACAAGCAGCATGCTAAACCAACATTGCTTCGATTTCTAGGTATGTTGCGCAATTTAGTCGGGCCATTGTTTCTCTTTACAATGACTGTTGTTACAACAGCATCTTGCAGGAAGTAGAATTGAGCTGCCCCCACGGAGACATCCTGAGCACAACATGCTTATGTTCTGTCATGTAAAATGATCAGAAGGGTACAGAACTTCCCCGTTGTCCATGACCTGTCTAATTTGTCTCCTTTTAGACAAAGACCTTTGTATTTGCATGTCCAGGCAAAGACACAGGAGCAGGTCAATAGTAAGTGGCACCGATTCCCCGGACCCTTTCCCCTTCGGTTCTTAGCTTCAAAGAATAAATATCACAACGTTTGTTAGCAAGTGACGTTTCTACCATCATTTTTCTGCCAACGTAGAAGCTGTCGCTAGAATCAAAGAGATCATCGCTGAGGATATGTTGAGAGCATCTGCAGCTTCGGGAGGTCAACCAATGCCCATTATTCCCCCACTCACACTGTACCCTCAGCCTCCTCGCCCTATCATCCAAACAGCCAACAGCAACTCAACACCGAGTCAAGGGCATCGGCCAGCAGCTCCTCATCCAGGGGTAGGCAGAATTGAGCAAGGCCTTTTTCGCTCAATGTCAAGATCTTTCACAGGGAAGACAACACAAATTTTTTACGAGTCTAAACACGCTGTTCTGGTTAATATTCAGGAAATGACCAATCACGGCTCACGTGTTTTCTGAAGCTGAGCCGTGATTGGTCGTTACTTGAACCCTCAACAACTGTGATGTCATTTTCAGTGGTCGCCCCCTGAGGTAGGGGTGGATTTTCCTGATTAACTCATATCCCACAATCGCAATATTAATCGGAAGACTGTGTTAGGGCAGCATAGAACATATTTTTGGAATAAACAAAGGCAAATAGGTTTGACTTCTCCTTTAGGCATGGAGGTAAAGAAAGTGAGGCAAGTGAAGACTATGTTGCCTTCTCTGATACCCACCTCCTAAATTAAATAGCAGAGAGAAGATCCTTGGTCTAAAGAAGAGAGCCATGGGTTACTGCATCTGCCGACAACATATTTTGTTAAATGTATTTTGTACCAGGCCAAAATCTGCGTTGACAATGAAAATCTTTCTTCATAGAACTTTGTTCACACAAAGATCTTTGTGGGCCTGGAACAGTCTGTGCCGTCATTCAACGTCAATGAAAAGGTCGAAGGTCCCGGAGGAACATACTTGGGCCACATCCAGACAGAAACAGGAGCTCGAGTCTTCCTCAGAGGCAAAGGTTCCGGCTACATTGAACAAGCATCCAAACGGGAGTCTTTTGAACCGCTTTACGTATACATCAGGTAATATACTTTTTTGCTCTCTATTAGCGATGGGCGAGCACAAACGCCAGGTATCGGGCCAACGCCAGGCATATTTTAAGGTATCGAGTCCTCGCGGAGGCTGCCGATAGCAGCCACCCATACCTAGGGCAAAAATGTATATAAATCTGATATTGGGTAAATCGTCCTTGGCAATAGTTGGCAGATTGGTGAATCATCATCTTCAGGAAGTAAGGTTTTAGCAATTTTTTTGTCATTCTGTTAAATGAAATTACTTAAATTATTTATCAAAATTACTACAGGTATCAGTATTGGTGACGGCTCAGAGTGAATACTGGTACGGCTCGGAAAAAAAGTGGCATTGAAGAGTTAAGGAGATACCTCAGAAGACAACTATAATCGAATTTTTACCAATGAAATGTGCATTCAGAGCAGCTCCCAGGCTAATTGGTACAACCGTATGCCATGCAATGTGGCATTTTCAACATAGACAGAAAATTAATGGAAATGCCACAAAGAAATCAATGTATTCAAGTTAGAGTATGTGTGCTTAGCAAGGGGCAACGTAAGATGGCCACTGGTGGCTTCGCTTGTTGTTTAGAAGCTGGTAAAAATTGAAGAAAGCTGAATATGTCACCGTAAGCAGGTGATTAAACAGACCAATCTCGAAAGAGAATGCGTGCAGCATCTACGCACAGCACCAATTTTGGATGTGTGCGCGGCATGTGTCGCTGACTTGTTGGTCACGTGGTGCAATGCGGCATCTTAGAAATATATCATTTGGATAGCTATTACTTTTTTTCGGGGGGGGGGTCTTGTGAAGTTTGCAAAACCGCATTATCCGCCGCATAACAATATAAAACAAGTCATTTGATACATTGTCCCTTTTTGGCCTAATGTCGCGCTTTAACAATGATGGCATTTACTTACAGCCACCCAAACGCAGCTGGACTGGAGGCAGCCAAGCGACTCGCAGAGAGTCTGTTGGAAACTGTAAGTCGCCCACTTATCTGAAGCTGAATGAGAGCTGTACGGAGGTTTAAGAAGGTGAAGCTATCAAAGCATATAGTTTTCACTGATACCTACCTCCAAGAGTAACAGCAGTAGTGTGAACCACCTGATCTCCAGAGATAGGTCCTGAGTGCTCTGCACCTACTCACAATACATTTCAACTGTCCATCAACTCTGGTGTTGTGCAGTGTTTGTTCATTTGCTCTTGTTATGACCTCCACCTACAGGTGAGAGCCGAGCACGCCCGGTTAAAGTCGTCCTACACAGCCACCGCCTCAACTCAACGTGAGTGTCCTTTCACTGTTTTGACTGAGCACTGGTAACGATATTAGACGTTACCCTAGCTGCACTCTTGTCATGACACTTCCACCATCCTGTGTTTTAGTGAGTGGTCCAACCATAGGTTGGTCACAACCTGTTCCTGATGTATGTGACGGATGCCGTTAACGCCACATTCTATACTTTCCTTTCAGCATATGCAGCTCATGGATTTCCACCTAATAGCAATTACTCTAGCCAGTCTTCCTGGTATAACTACCCAGCCAATGGGTATGCTGGAGCCTATTCAGCTTACCCAGGAGCCGGTGGTTATTGGAGTAATGCAAATGGTCCCCAGAGTCATTCTAACTTGTCGACAACCCCTCCATCTTCTCAGGCAATGGTTCAGTATCCGGTGTGTCCACGGAAGCCAAATCCATATCTTGTGGAGGTAATCACAAAGATTCAAAATATTGTAGTTGGTTGTTAGCGTTGCTTTTTTGTGCAAACCTTGGTACTTTGAATACTTGTTGATGGGTCAATTTTTGAAAATACTCCTGTGCATTGTTTACACTTGCCTGTCATCAACCCAGTCATCTAACTGTTCATTTAAAGCACTACTGAACTGCACTGGTCGTGCGTAAAACAGGGGTCACTGACCTTTTTTGAAATCGAGAGCTGCTTCTTTGGTACTGATTGTTTGGAAGGGCTTCGGGTTTGACATCCACTTATGAAATAACAAATTTGCTCATGTTACCATTAACTATTTCATTTTGTTATTAATATTTAATAGGGATGTTCGCTATTTTTTTTTTCCAGACTGATGCCAGTATGAATACCCAACTCTTGAATACTCTCCGATACCAAGTAACCAATACCACTAGTACTTTTGATATACCGTAATTTCCGGACTATAAGCCGCGACTTTTGTCACACGCTTTCAACTCTGTGGCTTATTTCATGAAGCGGCTTATATAAAGACTTTTCTCACGGCCGCCTGTGTACCGTCTTTCTTTGTAAATATCTCATGTTACAATATGGGCACCTGCGGCTTATACACAGGTGCGGCTTGTGTGTGTACAAAATATTTTTTTCCTTTAAAAATGTAGTGGTGCGGTCTATAGTCCAGAAATTACGGTATATCATTTCTACTAACCCAATAACTTAATTTTAAAGAAAGATCTGTATCCATATATGTAGATTTTTTTTTAGATGTTTACATTGAATTAATGGCAGTTTTATATTCTTTTTTGTAAATTTGTTCATAAATCCAATACCATGTAAATTACTAAGGATGCTCCAATTGATTGGTGGCCAATAATTATTGGTCGATATAAGTGAAAAGGTGCGCGAAAATTGAATCATGGTGGCTGCTTTTCTTCAGCACGGACAGGGGAAATTAAAATTAATGGGAGGTTGAATGGAGCCGCACAAGGCCGTTTTGGAAGAAAACCAGTTGAAGTCTGTAAAAGATCTGAGACTGAGACAGAGGTTTACCTTGCAACAAGACATTGATCCTAAACATAAAGCAAAATGTACAGTCGAATGTTTTAAAAAAAAAATCAGGTGTTGGAAAAGCCATGTCAAAGTCCAGACCTGAATCCAATTGAGAACCTGCGGAAAGAGCAGAAAATGGCTGTGCACAAATGCTCATCGTCAAAGCTTACTGAGCTGGGGCTGTTTTCCAAGGAAGAATGGGCAAACATTTCAGTCTCTAAATGCTCAAAAGTGACATACTCCAAAAGAATTGCATCTGTAATCGCAGCAAAAGGTGCTTCAACAAAGTATTAACTCAGGTGGGCCGAAATATTTTGCATGGTCCACTTTTGAGAATGTTTCTTTTTTCTTTACAAAATTTTAAAAATATATTAATTTCGTTCCACTTTACAACTGTTTCCCACTTGGTGTTGATTCTCCCCCCACCAAAATTCTATTTTATGTCCTTGCTTGGAGCCTGAAATGTGGCAAAAGGTCACAAAGTTCAAAGGGGCCGAATACTTTTGCAAACCACTGTATACTTGTATAGCAGCTACCCAAAATGGGTTAAGGCAAGCGTTTTTTAGTACGCCAAAGCCCAATGTTGACTATGTCTTTAGGTATCATTATTAATAGTCAGGATTTTGAAATGACAAGACCAGCTTTTAGGTGTCTTGGCAAAAGCTTTGAAAGAATTATGTAAATGTAAGGGTTATATTGTGTTAAAGGGTGTTGGTGGCGGCGATACAGTGGACGTTGTAGGATCTTTACACGCTCAGCCGGAGGCAGGAAGTTCAAATCAGCAGCTCCATGACGGCACAGAGGCAAAACAGGTTAGGTGAAGAGTCATACTTGCACTCGCTCTGAATGTGGATGATGGATGTTGCAGAGACTAGAGCTGGGTGGTTGTAGAAAAAAAAAACAGGATTATTTTGTTTGAGATTGAAATCACGATTATGTTTGACAAGTACAAAATGACCTTCATGACCATGTGAATTTCAAGCTTCTTGCATTTCCATTCTGTTACATCTACACCAGTGGTTCTTAACCTTGTTAGAGGTACTGAACCCCACCAGTTCATATGCAGATCCACCGAACCCTTAGTGAAATATAAAAACATGATTCGAGAAGTATTGTATTTCCATTGATGTCAGCTCAGTGGTAGAGCTGTTGTTTCCCAACCCAGAGGTTGTTGGTTGAATCCCTGGCCATTGCAACCATGCCCAAGTGTCCTTGAGCAAGATACTCAAATCGCGATTGCTCCTGATGTTGCATCATCAGTAGATGAATGAGGCAACAGACAGTGCGAAGCTCTTTGAGTACCCGAGGTAGAAAAGCGCTGTACAAGTGACAGCCTGTTTACCATATTCCCCAAATGCATGTATCAATAAATTGATTTTGTGAAAATGAAAGCCTTAAATAGCATTAAAATGCATTAAACAAAAAAATGTGAGGAAGCATGACTCTATGTCAGATGAGGGCAGTGCACAACAGCTGCCTCACAGAAGTCGTAGTAAGCCTGTCTGTGACGTGGGTCACATTACATCCTTTTCGTTTAAATGAATAAATAAATATGCGATCTGGATGCCATGTTCACGGCCATCAAACATGCTGGTTGGATGCTGCGACGTCTTGCTGTTGGATGGGGAAGTGGGCGACCCCTACTGGCAGTAGACTTTATTTTCTTTTAAGGTTGGGAATACCTTTGCTACTATGGTGTGTATTAAGGTCACCGTGCGAGAAGAAAAAAAATGACCAAGACAGATCTACTTCCACAGGCAAGCAACTTTTGAAACAGTTACAGGAAGTCCATACCCCACTCGATGGGAATCTAAAAGTTGGCCTTTATAAAGGTGCTGTTTCATTATTGGATTCTGAATCTAAGGACCTTTTGGGCTCAAGTATATATCCCTGTTGGTCCATTTCTTCTTGATTTTCCTCAGAATGCTCATTTTATCCACGACAATATGACAGCAATGATCTGGTGTATCATTCATTAGGAACTGGTAGAAGCAAGCCGGGGATGGCCCAATCAATGACGTGATGTCACATCCATTCCTAACATGTCGCCATTACAATTAACCAGGGGGGTTGCGGATATGCTGTTTTGGGAAATGCAAGACGACACACAAAGATGGGAACGCTGGATATTCATCAAACTTCACAATATTGCTTCATTTCTCCGATCAATAAATCGAAATGGGCCATTCTAGGTACACTTGAAATAAGGAGGAGTACACACACCATTCCTCACCGTAGATTAGGTTTAAGTAAACTTTAGCTCTAATGAGTAACATTTGATTTTTTTGGGGAGGGTGTAATAAAAAAAAATTGTATGCTTCTATGGACAAAATAGACCTTGATAAACATGTTGGGCTTTTGTTCAGCCTGCCAGCCACTCTCAGGAGGCTCCTGCTCTTCGACAGCCCACATTTCCTTCCCCCGTCATCCAAGACAAAGCAGTAGAGAGGTTTGTCCGTTTTAAGTTCTCCACGTAGTTCCTCTTTAACAACCTGTGGTTGTAATACAGTACATATTTTCGATCCGACTCTTTAGGATCCTTATGCCTCCACCGCCGCCTCCCTTTGCTGCTCTCACCTCTGGCCCGCTGAAGCGAACGAGTGACACGCCGACCCAAGATCCAGGCAGTCCGCCCAACAGTGACGCATCTTCGGGTACGCACCTGTTTCTTTGCTCCAAATTCTGCGAGCTGAAGCGTACTTCTTTATGGACCTTTTCACATTGAAGCTGCATGTACTTCTGGTGGCAAAAGCCTTCGCTTTTCTCCAGTGGCACTCCTAGTATACTCTTGAATGTCAAGGTGGCCCAATTGAGAAAACGGGCTAGCTGTCACCTCTACCATTGAATTTTGAATGTTTGAAAAGTCAGTCAAAAAGATGTGTGAGGTAAATCCCTTGAAAGGGAGATGGTCGTCATTTTTTTATTTCAACAAGTTCATTTCAAAATGAGCATGATTTTAATTTAGACATAGTAAACATCATCGGTGAGGGCCTGAATTGGTCTTTCTGTTGCTTGGATTAATGGCACGGACGTGTATGGTTACATGAGTAAAATAACTGGTTAGAAGAAGAATGCTTTATTTTTGTTTCAGCAAGTTCATGCTAACACCTAAGTTTAAATGTTTGCGCCTCACTTAGAAATGTTTAGGTCACAATAAATTTTCTGCTCATTTTTCAAATTCAAATCATGTTTATTTCCTGAGATAATTTCTTTACGGAATTGTTAAAATTGCAATAATATTGATTTCACAATATCCTTATGTATTTTTTATATATTCTTATTCATAGTAGTAGTCTGAAAGCCTGATGTGGTAAAGGAGGGAAAAACGGGAGTTGATTTGTAATCAGCGTAAAAAAAAATTTAGAAAGTTGACTTTTTTGTTGAAATTTGTTGACCAGTGTAATCATTCGATTTCCGCTGTTTTCTCAATTTGGCAAAATGACATGCAGCGTTTGTTTGAGTGCTTTTACCACCCAGAAGAATGTGCGACGTCTTGATGAATCAGTCTGTTGAGAGATTTTCTGTTCAATGAAATGGCGTCTCCACACCCCTGTGGAGGAATGGCGGAGGAGTGAAGACCTGTGAGATATTTCTCGGTTGCTTGGAAGCCACTAACATTGTCTTCTTCTATATGTCCTTTTGTCTTTCCCTTGTTTTCTCTCTCTCTTCACATGTCCACGGACCTGCTTGGCATGGATGTCCTGACCTGGCTGACTGGGGATCAAACCGACTGTAAACCACCGCTAACATGGGGCTCTTCAATGGGTTTCCTTTGGGTCTTCTCCAACCCCCCCTCCCTTCCTTCTGTTTGCCTCTTATGCTGTGCCCCAACAGGTCTTGTTGGAGATGTGTGCGGGAAGAAGCCCAAATTGGTGATAGATGCATCAGGGCTGGTGCCCTACGGCGGAGACTCTTCTGACGAGGAAGAGGAGAGGACGCGTAGCAGTAAGAGCAGTAACTCGTGACCCCTTTGGAGATGCACTTGAATCTCCCCCAAAAGAAAAATTCACTTTCACACTCTTGACACACTGCTTTGAGACAATGTGTTTCTTCAGATTCCATTTGAATGGAAGACGCATATTTTCAGTCCTGATATAGGCAGGTCATGTAAAGAAATCGACAGTTTTATCCCACATAGCAAGTTTCGCTACTTGCGAATTCACCTCTTGGCAGAGTTTTGTGAGAATCTATTCTCTGCAATATGCTGAGCGCGCACATATTCACTGTTTTTGTGCTCGGGCCAAAGCCGCCATCATGTGGCATACATTGGCAATTCAAACATCTGTTTTTGGAGGAGACTGTCAATTACTCATGAATTTTCAAATAGCAGAGAAATGTGGAAGATCTCCGCCGACTACTTCATAAACACAATGCAGTGCATTTTATTCAATATGAAATTAGTCATTTGATGAAGCAAAGGTCAGAGAAATTCAATACAAAAAAAAAAACATAAGTACCAGGAAAGGAAATTGCATCCCCCGGCTACCAACTTTAACAGTGTGCTTTTGGTGGATTTTCCTTTTTTTTTAATATGTGTGCATACAAGTGTTAAAATGAACAGAAATTTGATTCGGCATGGCATTTTTATTTTTGTTGACCACAAATCAGCCCGCTTTATTTGTTCTGAATTGAATACGGATCACTTAGAGCTTTTTCTTCTCTCGGAAAATGATGGATGTCTGTTCCCATGGAATACTATAATAAAAACGCCTACAAAGGACTTATATTTAACCTGACTAATTTTTTTGAATGAGATTAAGGATGCTCTATGAATGCATATTTTGGAGCCTCTATGCCATTGTGTATGGTCAGAGCTCCTGGGCTGTCCAGACCAAAGCACGGCTGGACATAACGCTGAAATTGACACTGGAAGGTATGCAGGTGTTGTTCCAGATCCACATTGAAGAACGACAGAGTGCCCCAGTCATAGTCCAAAGCCAACCCTATTCGGACTGGGTTCACTGTGATCCTCAGGTCAGGGCTCTGACCACTGTGTAAAAACTCATACTTGTGCCTGGAATAAATAGAGAAGATGGTTGATTTATTTACAGCCTGTAACATCACTGAGATATTTAATATGCTTGGTACCTAGAAGTAGTGAGGATGTGTCTCATACACCAGGAGGTGTTGTTGCCTCCCAGGTAGGAATTTCTCTCTGTGTCCTCGTATGCTACTCCAATCCTGAACTCTGTTCTGTCATCCACCTCCACTTCCCAGTAATGCCGAGCTCGCACTGGAATTAGATCCCCAAGGACTGCTACACACCTGGTACACACGTTAAGAATGATCACTGAAAGGGAGGTCTAAAAAAGAAATCCTGTGGTTCTGCTGAAGAGCATTCACATGTTCTGCTCCAAAAATATGTAGCAATTTTTCAAAATTTTCCACCATTGTTTGCATTTCTCCGCTAATTCAAACCATAACAATTTCAAACTGTTCAGCTCATTCAGGACACCTTGGGAACATTTCACATTCTGCAAATTCATGCATCTTTAATTTTTCCACATTTTAATGACAGACGCAAATCAATGGGGATGTGAATTCATCTCATCCTTCCACATTACCCGACAGATCCAATTTTGAAGTCTGCCCGTCTGTATTTCAACAATTCAATTAATTTGGCATTATTTCAATTCAGTTTCAATTCCTGTCATCATTTGACAGGAATTGCATTCTCTGGTTTACCTGGTGAAGTTGTCATCATCTAAGGCCATAGCGCTGATTGGCAGCTCTTCATCTCCATAGAAAATAGTGAAACCATCCTCAGATATTGACAGGCACGGATGGGCAGTCTCCTCAAGAAGATAGAAAAATGTCCCTGTCAACAGAAGAACAAAACATTTGCAGATAGTCTTGGGCTGTAGCCTGAACAGTAAATCAATTAGGAAGAGACCGCTCATATTTGCCTCTTACCAGAGGTGGAAATGCATATTTCCTTACTCCTGTCGCTGGGCCCACCGATATTGACCGCTCTCACTGAGATGAGGTAACAGTGACCTGCTTGAAGCTGAATCAAACACTGGCACGTGGGTACTGCTACTACAGACCTGATTAGGAAAATGGGATAGGTCAGACATTTTTATCAAATATCCACCTCATAGTGTGAAAACATTTCTTGGCATTTGACTTTTCACTCCAGAAAACATTCTGGACTCATTTAAAGATACCAGTCAAATATGCAGCAACTTCTCTGGAGTCGCCAGACAAACAAACAAAGGAGAATGTTGATAAGAGCTGAGGCTAAGAATAGATTTTTTCTGGGACAGTGTGCATCTTGATTCAGCAACCCAATAACCACGGGACCTGTGGTGTCCTCTGCAAACACTAACATTGCCGTGTTTATGAAAGCATTGAAGAAGAAGAAGAAAAAAGCCCAAAGTAGAAAATGAACAGCAGGTACGTACTGCTAATTTCTGTGTTCAGGGGAACTGTTGAAGAACTGTACCCTAGGGTGTCAGGGAGAATTGGCGAGTTCTGACTGGACATTTTTCAGGTCCCACTTCATGTGTACTGGGTGTACTGTAAGAACGTGGGTCACACTGGAGTTAACATGCAATGTGATGCATGTTAAGAAAACTATTGCCTAATGGTATTGTGTTGCATCAAAAATTCATGGCTGACTTTAAGTGTGTTGCTTTTGTGAGGTGTTACTCCCAATAATAAACTGCGACAGTTTTATCTTGACATACTGTAGTAGTCTAGGCTTTTAAAAAAAACAAAAACAATCCCAGTTGAAGATAAAGATGGGGGATTAAAAACTCCCAACTGGGAAGCTCTCTTGTAAATCTTGTAGTGTGATGAGGTGCTCTTACTCAGTGACCCCTTTCTCATTGCCGTCTGACCCTTTCAGTTCGGTCAGCTCCACAGTATAGGAGTCAACAGGGTCAGGGTTTCCCGACTCCCAGCGTATGAGAGCAGCCTCCGGGCAGCTGCAACACTGCCTCTGCTTGATCACTGGAGGAGATGGAACTGTGGAGAAATGAGAGATTTAGCTTTGATTCCGCCTGACCGCATCAATCATGGAAGGCTGAGGAAAAACAAAAAGTCTATTTTCGGGAGATAATCTGATTTTAAATGTCGTGAATAACGGTAAAATGTAGGAATAATAAATACAGAACTCATATCAAGTACAGATACCATAAAAATCTACTTAGCAACAATAATATAGTAATCGTGCGTCATGACTTCCAACCAGACTTCTCGTTAATTACCTGTCATGTATAAGGCCTTCTCACTGGCTGGGCTGATGCCTGTTGTGTTGGTGGCTGTCACCCAGAGCTCATATTGAGCACCAGGCAGAAGTTCTTTCACAGTGCAGTGGGTCTCTTTCACTTTTGCCTTCCTTACTAAATGCGAAAGCAATGGGTACAACTGGTTCGAAAAATAAAAACGGCATCAAATGCAGATGGTGTTGTGACACAGACGCAGATGTACCTTGTGGGGCAGTAGTGCTGTCCAGAGGCGCATTCTGCAGCACCAGTCTGTAGTACAGCTCGTAGAACTCCACCGTGTCGTCAGAGAACAGACTCCAGCATACACGCAGAGATGTCTGGGTGGCCGAGTTCGCCATTTGGGGGTTGATAACCGGGGCGGATGGAGCTGTGGACATCCCGTGGGGTTTACTTGGCAGCCAGTGTTGCATAGTTATACTGTAATCAGTATCTCACACGAGTCCCTCTCATAACTTTGTCAAAAAATCTTGTCATGAGACGATGCTGAAGAAATGACACTCTGCGACAACGTAGTGTACCTGTAGTTAGTTTTCAGCTGATACAAGAGTGTACATTTTCTGTCCGCTCAAAATAACACGCAACAAAAGTGAGTCCACCCATTGGTGCAAGTTTCACATCTGAGACCTTGAAAATGCTAATGAGTCACGTGACATGCACATTGCATTTATTATTCTATCCTCTCAGTATTATTGATATATTAGACTGATGTTTATTTCTTCATTTTACCTATAACTTGGATTAACAGCACCGGTATATACCCGCTTTGGGCTACAGTGTTTAGTATTAATTGTGCTCTATGAGCAAAGAATAGATTGAAGTTTATGTTTAGTGTTGTGGCTGAATGCAGTGACGTAGAAGTGTGGTGCATTTCCTGAACTGTATTTATCCCTCTCATGCAATCAAAACAGGTGCAGCTAAGTGGTTGCGGTGTTTTTCTAGTATGACACATTTAGAGACACGCCGATCGATCGGCCACCAATTTCCATGGCAAAATACTTGATCGGCCAACAATATTTTAGTCATTACTGATCCACAAAAAATTATCGCCCACAGTTTGTACTTTGGAGCCCGCAGCCAGAGACCACCAGCCTGTGTGCAGCTTAGCGTACCCTCCCCTGGGCCGGATTCAAACCCATGACCTCTGCACCGTGAGGCGGACATGTTAACCAGTCAATCACCATGCCGCCCACATCCCTAATAGTTATGAAACTGCAAAACCAAAATGTAAATCGAACCTGGAACGATGTTGATGGAGTCCATCATGCTTTTGACATCTGACAGATCAGCGAGCGGCGTTTCAAAATCAAGATTTGTTGCCAGTGTGAGGTCCATCTCTTCTTTGGCAAACTCCTCAATTCTGATGAAGTCCAAAAAAAATAATGTTGAATTCTGCCATTTATCCCGATTAATAAATACAAATCGGACTACTTCAGAGAATGGATTTGCACTGGGCGGTGTCTTGCTTACCGTTTAAGGGTTGGAACAACTGTCTGTCATAAAACGAAGATGGAGATGAGTTAATACATGAAGATGGATAGATAACAAGATTACTGGCGCAATCTCTAGACAGATTTAAATATGGATGGATTGATACCTTGAGAAAAACCCTTTTGTCCTGGCTCCGATAAACCTCCTTAGCCTCCTCTATGAGCTCCTTGGAGGCATCCAATGCGTGCCCACAGGCCAGCAGCTGAGTGTAAAGGGCCTCCAGCTTCCTCTTCTTTTCATCTTCCAATCTAGCTGCTCGCTCGTCATAACGCTGCGATATTGTCTGAAGAACATCTGTGTAGTGATGCTCCAAGTGTTGCTCACGTCTGCCAAAATTCTCCTGCGTGGTGTATCATTTGCAGAGCTTTTAAACACTTGACAAGACCTTTTCACCATGATGTCACACATGCTTCCAGGTTGGCAAAAGACACAGCTTTCTCTGATGAAGCAGTCTGGCTATCTTCTCCGTACCAACAGCTCCTGACGTCATGCACTCAGGATTTATTTATTCACCTACAAATTTCACTGGATTTATTTTTTATTTTTTGTAAGGAAATTGAAAAAAATGAAACCTTTTGGGGTTTATATCTGGCAGTGCAACCCAAATTGTGACTACTGTTGATCAATTTTCTTCCACCTCGAAGTACTTTGGCACCTATTGTTTACAGATATAATGAAATTAGATATTTTATTATTTTCTTGGTGGCACGGTGGGCAACTGGTTAGCACGTCGGCCTCACCGGTTCAGGGTGTACCCTGCCTACTGCCCAAAGACAGCTGGGATTGGCTCCAGCACGCCCACGTCCCTCATGAGAATAAACAGATTCGAAAATGGATGGATGATTTTCTTGCTCTGAGGGAAACATTTTACCTCAACAGTGAGAAAAATTTCTTCCAGGTGTCCTGCAAAGTTCTCCATCTCAGCCACCTTCTCTTGCAACTGATTCCTGGAGCTGTTGATGTCACTCTACAAGGGTTTGAACAAACTTAAAATGACTCCTTCATTCAAGGAAATTAGTTCAAATTACATGGCCATTTAAAAGTGTTGCTGTTTGTGACTGGCAACACCTGTCAACAGTGCTACAAAGTGACAGACAGGCTTTTAATCTTAGAAAGCAGTGTTTTCAATTTGTGGCATTGATGTAGTAGGGTGTGGAATTCCACCTGAGCATTTATTTGACAAAAAGCAGTTTCATGTAGCTACTAGTACGCTCTTTGTGCCTGATAAGTTCCGTGCACTGCAATGCCTGTACTGTATCTGACTGGGAACATTTTCCTGCCTATCTTAAACTGAAGAGTTAGAAAATGAGTTCAGCTTCTACCTCAATACGACCATTGCCAAACATATCATCATGTCTATCCTTCACTCCAGGGGACTTCTTCAGAGGGCTGGCCATGTCTCTATTCAACTCCTGGTATTCAGTTTCTTCTGCAATGACGTCCAATCTACTTCCCCTGATCTCATACAGATCCATGACGAATGACTGTGGGAGGACATTATAACACTGAGTGATACGCAATAAATGCTGAATAGGACTTTGAACAAAAGTACTGTAGTAAGACAATGCATGCAGGCTGAATGAAAAAAAAAAATGGAGGAATATTCACCGCTAGGAATCAGCTTTTACGCCACCATTGCAGGCCAACGTGCACAAACCAACTGTGAGCAGAGCAGCAACACACGCAGAAGCTGTGACAGAAATAGATGAGGCAGGCACACACTGATCAAATGTCAAAAATATCTCAAACATCCTGAGAATAGAAGCCAACACTGTCTATGTTGTATATTGAATAGAGTATACATTTACAACAAAAATTAGGTTAAAGGTTTTAAAATTCAGTTTCATTCTGACATCACAAGGTGGAAATCCCCAGACGTGTGATTGAAAATTGAACGCGAATACTGGAGGGGCATGGTGCCTTCACTGACTCTCGTAATTTCAAAATATTACACTGACTCATTTTTCTTTATCGATATCACATTTTGTTCATTTTGTGCTTTTTCAACAACTGTTAACAAGATGCGGTAACTTAACAACGTATCCTTAGTGTCTATGTTGCTTGAACATGCATACCTGCTACTATATAATACAAATATAGAATTTAAAGAATTATACCTGCTAATTGGTCACCTCCCTCCATTAATCTCAGTTTCAAAATAGAGAATGCATTTATTGTAGACAGTGCATGTGAATAATAAACAGCTGATGCTGAGGCAAAATGCTAGGGAATTAATTGAATTGTTGAAAAGTAGAATGTGAGACTTGCATTTAGAAAGGGTCTGAATCCGTCAAGACATGTGGAGTATGTAGTATATGTCATTCCTAGTTTGGGAAATCTGAAAAATAGCTCCCATATGAATGAATAAATGCAAACTTAAATACGCTGCTGTCCATTTTCCAGCTTCAAAGTCAATTGTGACAGTTGGCCACAGAATATCATGCTATTAACTACAGATTTTTCCCAAATGTAATAAGTCTGAGATTTAAAACAGTGATTCATGGTTTATTTCATCTCATGTGAGAGTAACATTGGTCAAAGTGTGGGATTGCTGCAAATGCATTAAATTACCTTCAAAACGGGTCAAATGTGACCTAACAGTTTGTAGCTTTGACTTTGAATGGGTAGAGAAATGTGGAAGATTTAGAAGGGCAAAAAGTGGGCATAGTAATAATACTACAAATAATGATAATAATGACTATTAATGATTTATGTCCTGAAAAACTCATGTGCAGTGCTATTTCAACACCGTTTTGTGTTTGCGAGTCGCTTGGATGAGGCCATAAACTTTGCGGGTGAAATCCCATTTTTTCTGTCGTCTTTGAATGCATCCTGCGTCACGCAAATGGCGGACGTTGTAAACAGAGACCCAGTTTTGAGGAGGCCTGTGTCCAAACATTTTCAACGATGAGCAACGTCGAGTGTGAGCGCCCGGACAGCTTGGACGGATGGGTGGCGATAAAAAGTAACATCTTCGAAGAACCGGAGGTGTTTAAGTTGGGTTTTATCGTCCAATGGAACGTAATCGAGTGTAAGTTCGCGGTCACCTGCCACAACAGGACATTACAGCGGCGGAATCGAAAAGAAGAATTTAGCTTGACGGGGGAGCATCAAAGCAGCTGGGCCGGCCTCTTCTCGGTGAGCGATTTAAAACACATCCATCAGCAGCTAATGTGTGTCAGCGATGTCTTGGCGCCTTGCTTTCCCGATTTGTCGGAGTTCGAAGACGGCAGTGTATGGGATTTACTTTTCCCGAGTCGGAAGTACGGTTCGGATGACGAGCGGAGGCTCTCGGACGCACCGTGTCGGAAGCTGGAAAAATACTTAAGCACCGCCATCGACGTTTGCGGGAGGACAATAGTGCTCGATACGCTATTCTACCAGGATGAGCGCGACGTAGATGACTACTTTGAGAACCTCCAGGAGTTGAAGAGGAAGAGCATGCACGACGAGATGTCAAGGGCCAAGGGTCACCTACGACAGGTAGAGTCATTCATTATGCATACAACTTCGATTTAGCACGCTTTTCACAATTTTTATTGACTGGGTGATCGTGACGTCACACGCACTTGTGGGTGGCGTTTGACCAAGGCAGAGTGATTAAGAAAAGAGTAAAATAAGGGTTCAATAATTCTACGTATGATCTCTTCCTCTCTATCCACCATATTCCTACGCCTCTACGAGCCTTTACGTGAATAGGCTATTTTCGGTTTCGTCTACATGGAAACTGTTCGTGCAGTCCACTTTCTATGACACTTGCAAGCTTTAATAACGTGGGAACAACAGTTGTTGTATCTTAAAAGACAATACATTTCAATCCAGGTTCGCGCTAATGTAGCGGGGTGGGAGGACGATGAAAAAAGGCCAGCGACAAGATACGGTCGGTCAATGTTTAACTACTTTCCAAACTGTCGCTTCAGATGTGAGGCAATGAGAAACATCAAAAGCTCTGAGGTGTATCAGTACCTACACAGTAATAAAGTTGGTCGCGTTTTGTGATCCATAAAAGTATGACGGCGATCTTTGAATACATTCAAAGGCCTATCTGTACCGAGTACAAGTTATGATCGAGCTGCTCTTGACATTCAAAATCATTTTGCGGTTCTAAAAACAGCAGAAACACGCAGAACAAGAATCCGGCACGAAGGAATTGCATTCTTTCCTTCCACATCCAGTTTAATGCGTTCGGTGCCGGCCTCGTTTTTTTTTGTCCAATGGGAGCACCGATCGTCACACGCGTCCATGTACAGTATTTACAGAGTACAGGTACTTGCAAAAATCACAGCGTGCATACGAACCATACACACACACACACACACACACACACACACACACACACACACACACACACACACACACACACACACACACACAAAAACAACCCATCCACTTTTGGTCCAGACAAACAAGCAGACCAAAGGACTTTTCTGGTATAAATACACTCTGAGAGAAACCTTCTCCATTGTTAGTGTTATCGGTCATCGGTCTAATTATGTCTAGTTTTGTTAAAAAAAAAAAAAAAGGTCCCTGTTAGGACTCCTGCCCATTACATTGACACTTTGGGACCAGTCATTTGAAGTCGATATGTAGAAACACAGAAGTTGGTTGGAGGGAAAGACGACGGGAAAACAGAAAAAGTATGTCTTTGTCCTAAGGGAATATGTGTCCTCTACTAGAGACGAGAGTCATGCGTTGTTTATTTTAAGATGACTCCCAAGTAGATTACAAGACCCACAATCTTACTCACACACTCTGTGTCCATCAGTGTCTTTATGTACCATCATATTCAAAAGGTAATAATTGACATATAGCACTGTAACTTTGTGAAATATGATGATTCAACAATTCAACAATAAATTGCGTCTCCTCTCAGCTGCTGCAGAGTCACGGAGGTGCGGACCGGATGGTCACGCTGCTTGCTATCTACGCACAAGAGGATGAGGCCTACCAAGATCTGCTCACTGAGGCCACTGCCTTCTTTCAGTACCTGCTGCAGCCTTTTAGAGACATGCGAGAGCTGGCTTGCCTCTACAAAATGGAGATCCTGGTAAATAAAAGCATGCCACTTGAAGGTTGACGTTTTAGTGTTGTGGCACCCACTGACAGGACTTATATCATTGCTTGACTGCAGTATCTGATTTCCACCAAAAGAGGGTGTTAAAAGACCAGGGAGTGTCCATATTTTTTAGTTTGAGGGCTGCATTCGGAAAAATGGAAGGACCTAATTCTTCCACTTTAATTTATTAAACACGCTAAAATCCATCAATTAAGCTATGACATGTTGTTTCAATTTTACCAGTTGCGAACTCTCTATCGATCTGTCGCAGTGAAGAAGGAGCTGAGGTGAAAGGCGGAGCTCTCGATTTACAGGCGATCTACGTTTCTACCCTAACCTATGGTCATGAGTGAGCTGTGGGTCGTTACTGAAAGAACGAAATCCCAGTGACAATCGGTCAAAATGAGTTTCCTTCGCAGGGGGTCTGGGCTATCCCTTACAGATAAGGTGAAAAAGCTTGCTCATCCGGGAGGGGCTCAGAATCAAGCCGCTGCTCCTCCACGTCGAGAGGAGCCAGATGAGGTGGCTCGGGCACCTGGTTAGGAGGCCTCCTGGATGCTTTCCCTGTTGAGGTGTTCCAGGCATGTCCCATCGGCAGGAGGCCCCGGGGATGGCCCAGGTCATGCGGCTGGACTGGGAATGCCTTGGAATGTTATGGAAATGGCATTTCATTGAAACAACAGCTCCATTTTCTAGTTTTATCTTATACCGCAGCTACTGTGCCACTCGGACAGGTTGAAACCAGTTTTCCAAAACGCGTTCTCATACATGTTAGAATAGCTTTGAACAGTTGACGGTCCACACTGCTGTTTTCCACAGAAGTCCCTGGAGTTTGATGACTTGGGTCCTAAGAGGATTGAAGCTCTGGAGGGGGAGGCGGAGGAGTGGAGGGCCAAAGCGGAAGATGCAGTCGTGTCCATTCAGGATATCACAGTCACCTACTTTGCGCAGACTTCAAAGGCGTTGGCTGGTGACTCATTGACTCATTTAATCACTTTATTATTAATAACCTGAATTCTGTTGCACTTTACCGCCACATGCAGGAAATAGATCACTGCAGTCCCTGGTTGCATTGCTACTTCATACACATAGTATGCAGTCATGTCCTACAACTTGATGCTCCATAATGGCCTTTTGAAATCAACCAAGACAAAGTGTGCTTGCTTCAAGCTATTTTTCACTTTGTGTACTGTAAAACTGCCAAAAAAAAAAAAGTAGGCATCTTCATTGCTAACAAATAATCAAGAGACGGCAGGTTAATGGAAATCAGCATCAATGTTCCGATAATTATAAACACACAAGGAGCAGCAACACATAAAAATAAAGTCGGTAACAAAGAGATTTTTTAATTGTATATATATATATATTGGTAACAAAGAGATTTTTTTTTTTGTTGTTTTAATTTTCATCAGTGTTTGGCCTCCTTATTCAAGTATGTAAGGAACATTACAATGTTATCAAGTCTTACTGATCTGGCCGTATCCATAATAACATGTTATCTTAAAATAGGCATATTATTTTATATAGCACAACCAAATGTAGAAAAATGAGATGTGCAGATGCAGACATGCATATCCGACTTGTGCGCATACCGTACATGTTCAGGTATGGTGAAGCAGATGGAGGAGGATAAGCATCGCTTTGGAACCGCTGCCTGGGCTTCTGCAGCTCCCCGACTGGAGAAACTGCGCTTCCTCCTGGCCAAAGAAGCCCTGCAACACATGAGATCGACTGAGATGTGTCTGAACAGCAAGAAAGCCAGCATCAAAAAAGAGGTGAACATCACACTCACTGGTTTAGCATGAATAGCATGCCGACGGGGAGATATATACATACATGGCAATTTTCCGCGGATCCGCGGAAATCCGCCGTTTTATTTCTTAAATTGATCATTTTTGTGAATCGTCTAAATCCGTTGAGAAAATTTTAGGGGCGGTCAGGTACCTTATCGTCGAGTTTTCACGAGCTCTCCCGAACAGTCTCTCAGTTTTCCGTTTGTAAACAGCCCTGCGATTGGACGTGTATGAAAGCTTCAACTAATCAGATCAC